AAAAGAAACTAACTGATGCAATGTTTGCCATGTTTTAGAAAACACGAAAAACAATATAAAAAATTTTTGGAAAAAATTCAAAAATATCTCCTCAAACAAAAAATCTGAATCACCTTTTCCAATACCTCATATACAACAATACCACCACTAGGACAGACTCAGAAAAAGCTGATCTGTTGGCTGAATACTACGAATCCACCTTCGGTGATCTCAACTCTCCAGATTTTGATACACAACACCAACAACTAGTAAATAATCACATTAACACCAACCAACCCACTTTCACATCCCAGTTCCCAAGCAACAGCCCTTCAGCCAATCAGCCAGACCTCATTAGCAGAAAAATGACTGTCACTAAACTGAAAATTAACATCAAAAACCTCAAACATGTCACTAGAACATGACGGAATAAGAAATATAATATTGAAGAAAGCTTCCAATCTTCTGTTACTTCACCTCACAAATATCATGAATCTGTCATTATCTTCAGGCTACTACCCGAACACACGGAAGAAAGCCATACAAAAAAAACAAACAGATCAAACCCTGATAACTTTCATCCAGTCAGTCTACTAAGTTGTCTTGGTAAACTAATGGAGAAAATAATTTCAAATTGCCTTCTTCACTTCTATGAAATAAACAATATCCTCCCCGAAACACAAAATGCAACCAGGAAAAGGAGACAAACCATAGATCATCTCAAGTGTTTAACCGAATTTTCTGGATATACTTCAGACTGCATTGTCATCAGCATACTGAGAACTATAAGTATATGTTAATTTGGGTAATGGAATGTTGCTTACGAATTGATGTAAAGGAGTGGTGAAAGGACATTTCCCTGGGGCACTCCGGCTGTAATTTTGAATGGTTTTGATAAGATGCATTTTAATTAATTTGCTGTTTTGTGAGTAAAGAAGTTTGATATCCATCTGACTATGCTGTTATTAACTTTAAGATTGTGCAGTTTATATAAGATGGCATTGTGCCATACGCTGTCGAAAGCTTTTTTGATGTCCAGAAATATTCCTAGTGTTACTTGGTTGTTATTGAAAACTTTAAGCGGTCACTGGATGCCATTCTCAGCTGGTGTAACAAATGGAAGGTTGAACTAAATCCATCAAAATCCCAAGCATTAACTCTATGCAGAAAACTAAAAAGACCGAACAACGTTAAGCAAAGTTGAAGTAAAACTTGGAAACACACCAACAGAAATAAGTAACCACATCAAGTTTCTTGGTATAACATTTGACACATGGTTAACATGGACAAAACATGTTTAAAACATACACTTGTCCATCAGAAAACGCATCACCCACCTACAGAGAATAGACAATACAGACAATATTCAAAATCTACAAAGCACACATTCGCCCACTCATAGAATACGGCTGTCAGGTAACTTATAATATGCCCAACAATACATTAGATAAAATACAAAAACAACAAAATAAGCCCACAAATTACCAAAAAACACCCCCATTAAATACATACACAAAATAAGCAATCTCCCTACCCTTAATAGTAGGCTAACTGATCTAGTGCATAAGTATTACACAAAAGCAGAAATTAGAAACAACCTGACAAGCACACTCTGTAAAACTGCCAGTGCCCCTACAAAACACATCTCCCCATACAATTTCTTCACACAAACCCATGATGGCTAAAGAATGCATGTATGAAGAACACACTGTAAAACTGCCAGTGCCCTTACAAAACACATCTCCTCATACAATTTCTTCACACAAACCCATGATGGCTAAAGAATGCATGTATGTTTTATGTCAAGACTAATCATTTTCTTTCTTTTTTTCAGCTTAAGCAAAGGGCAGATAGATTATTCAGTATCTGCCCCGTGAAAGTGGGTTTTCTCCAGGTACTCCGGTTTCCCCCCAAACCTAAATTTGGGGCATAGAACTTATAGGTTCCCACCCACTCTGAGAGGATCATTGATTAGTAAACTAATGAATTAATCTATCAATTAGTTAATAAATCAATTAATCATTTAGCAATAAATTATAAATTAATACATCATCAAGAAAATATAGCAAATTCCACACATTAGGCATTCTTATCCCGTACCTGGTATCTCCTTGCAGCAGCAACATTTGAACACCAAACACGAAAATGAAGAGGATGAAAATTCAATATTATACTTCCTCATTGTTGCCGGTCTCCTTACCCTTTTTTTTTTCCAGAATCACAAGAACTAACATTCCACAAGCGAGGTTGAAGAGGAACAAAGTGTTCCTGAGCACCCCAGTTGGGGAGATAAGTCTCTTGTCTTCTCTCTCTTCAAACTGAACCCCTGCCACGTAAGTAAGTAACTAAGCAAGCATTCACTGACTTGAAGATGGAAGACTTAAAATGTCATCCTCTACCTTTATGTTTTGTACAATACGCAGTTGCCATCCATTCCAAAATACTCAGAATTGTATTTCTTTTGTTTATTATTTAGTGAAAATATATTAATCATCAATAAAACCCAAGAAAGGAATCAAATGCTTAAGTGTATCATTATTTTATTTAGGTAGACTAAAGTGAGAGTAATGCAACTTAACCTAATATAGCTTGGGGTTGTTTTTCTTTTTTGCTTAATAATTCTGTTTCACATTTTAGTTTACAGGGGGAGCACAAGGGCCATCATGAGCCTTTGTTAGTTCCTGCTATTTGCATTTTGTGTGAAATCTATGTGTGTCATGCTCTATGGTCCAACCGTAACATCCGTTGAAAAAGAAACACCCACTTATGAGATCCAGACTTGTGGGCTAAGACTTATCTGCTTTGTTAGAAATCCTCAAGATACCTCAGCATCAATATTATTACACCAATATTCTGTTAAAAAGAAAGACTAAAGAGGTGTTTTACAATGGTCTATTATATACATATAGTAAAATATATGTTTATCTATAAAATATACAGGAATGGAACTTAAAAATGAAAAAAAACATTATTAATGTTTCCAATAAAAATTTTAAATTATACTTTAACACTAATTAGATTGGGTAAAAAATTCCATACTCTAATACTAATAGCAGTATCAGTATTTGAAAATAAGTCTTGGTACATAAGTGTCTGTGGATATCTATTATTTTTTTATTTCTACTTTAAATTTAAAATTTTTTGTTAACATAATTGTTAAACACAACAATACACCATTCAAAAATCTGTGTTCTGCATCAGTGAACTCACAAGAGTATGCACAAATCCTAAACTATTACAACTAAGGTCAATTAAATTTTGATCACTCTTAGATTGTTTATGTATAATAAATAGTTTTCTGTATCTATCATCTAAACTTTTGCTACATTACTATACCTTGTGGGAGGTCTAACAATAACTAACTGTAATACTCAAATGTCATGGAAAATCATTCCAAGTTTTAACAGTGTTGAACCTTAGATACTACTGTCAGTAATAGAAACAAATACAGGTGGTTGGATATCAAGAAGTCCTTCACACTAATGTTTATGCAGGAAGAAAATTTATAAGTTTCTTTGTTATCAGTGAAAATTCAGCATAGCACAAAATGTAATAATTCAATCTTCTTACTTTCTGCCAGTAAAACCAAGCATGTAACTTATCATGTTGTAAAACTTAAACCCTACACTCCTGTTTGTAAACCAAAACAAATAAAAACACCGGGACTGTCTTTTTTTCACTTTAGACTAAACATATTTAAACTTGGAGGGTATTTATATATGCATAAAACAATACAAAATTATATGAGACTTTATATAACTAATATTACAAGTCAAACACATTAAGAATCTCTTAGTAAAGTGTACTAACAACATCCACACAGAAAAGCAAACAAAAATGACAATACACAACTACTTACAAGCTGTAACTGGGTATGAACATGTTGAACAATCAAGTTGATTGCTATATGGTTTTCTCCTCCTGTTTGAAGTGAAAATCTTAAAATATATCAGACTGTTTATAACTAAGCAATAAAACTAAAAAACTAATTACATTCCATAACTGTCTAAACAATAACAAATATCAAAATAACATATTTTTTTAATATAACAGCCATACCCAATAACCTTGAGTCACAACATAAACAATAATTTAAGTCTATTTAACAAAATAGACACATTTGATAACACTCATATAAGAAATTATTACATAACTATTACAGAAGATTAAAACAGTAACTTTTCATAGCAGAAATACTGCTCCTGGGCAAGCAATAAGCTTACAAGTTTTCAATGCTATAATCTAGGGTTCAATTCCTCAGACTGGACGGAGTGCAGGTAGCCTAATGCATAGCTTTGCACTAAGAAAACAACAGCAGCAGAAATATTAAAGTAACAACCTGTTTAACAGATCAAATATACAAAATACCATTCTTATAACATAAAGAAATAACTATTACAGAACAAGCAAAGAACTTCTTTTATAACAAAAGTACTAAAGAAACAACCTTTTAACAGAGCATGTAATGCATTATAGGCCATGTTAATCAATTTAAGAAGACACCTCATTAGGGTAATGGGAGATAAATCACGGGAAATATAAGGATTCCAATGAATGAACAAATCGATTCCTACAACCTCAAAATGAGCTAGTAAGAGCCATATAACACTTGAGGGCCCTAACAGGACATAAGAAATGATCAGGATTGGAGCAGACATAAAGGTGAGAAATGGCTGGCAAATGGATTGGTGAGAAGGATCTTTCCCCTTCCCTGACTGCCAGTGTCTTGGGAAGAAAAGACCTATCGGGGTAAAGCAGGACAAATGTGGAATGATAAAGAGTCCGATGCACATGGATTGCAGAAAGACGTCCACAAGCCAACAACAACGAAAAAATACAATTTAAGAGAAACAAAGAATACAAAGGTAAGGGCTCAAAGGGAGGAAGAGATAATGTGTGTAAAATCCCAAATTGGTAATTGAAAAGGTCGTTTGGGTTGAAGAATACAAAAGGAGTTGAATAAACTTGATGGTACTGAGGACCCAAACCTTCCAATATTTAGAATACTGAAAAATGGTGGAGAAGAATGCCTTATATAAAGCCACCATAGATGAAACAAGACCCCTCTCAAATATCCAAGTCACAAAACGGGATATGATAGATACTTTAGGATGAAAAGAGTTAAAATTCCTTTTAATGCAACACTGACAATAAGTATGCCATTTCCTTTGATAAACAGCTGTGATTGGCCTGCAGAGAGAATTAGTTAAATACAGAGAAACCTTGGAAGATAAACCCTCTACATCAGGCAAAGGACCACACAATTTACCAAGCATCAAAATTGAGTTTCTGAACATCTGGGTGGAGAATGTCTGATTGAGGTTGTCTAAACAGAGACTGCCAATGTGGAAGAGGTAGAGGTGGATATTCCTGCACATACCAAAAAAGTGGAAACCACATTTGAGCTGGCCAATATGGTGCAACCAAGAGAACTTGACAGGGAGTGGAACAAACCATAGTCAGAACCAGGGGCAATAACTCAATTGGGAAAAGTCATACAGATGTAAACCTGTCCAGTCCTGACTAAACCCATCTACTGCCAATGCTTGAGGATGAAGTATCAGAATCCAATGAGTCGCAAAAGCATTGACCATTGGAGACCAGAACTGAGAGCAAATCCACTGAAAAACCTTGTGATTTAACATCTATTCTGCTGGAAGAATTTGGTTGGTTCGAGACAAGTGATCTGCAATTAGATTCATCACTCCTGGAACATGACATGCTAAAAGACTGATACGATGGGAATGAGCCCAGTAGAAAAGATCCAAGGTATGAAAACAAAGGTCACGAGAAAGTGTTCCTCCTTGACGAGAAATCTGAGATACCCCCATGGAATTGTCAAAATGTATCATGACAATTTTTAACTTCAAAAGAGACAGACCTTGACCCATTGCCCAGTGTACTGCAAGGAGATTGAGAATGTTGATATGAAAGGTAGACTCGTCTTCCGTCCAAATACCCTGGAACTCCTGACCTTGAAGATAAGCTCCCCATCCCTGAAAAAATGCATCTGTGAACAGATGAATATTGGGTGGAGGTGGTGGAATGGGTACTCCAATAGTTGTGTTGTTCCGACCCAACCACCAATTGCAATCAACTATATTGCTCCCTAGTAATGAAACAGGATGATCAATAGGATTGGAATGAATGATCTATTGGTTGCCCAGTGACATATGTGCTCTTCCCAAAGTGTGCAGTGGAAGAAGGAGACACAAGTAAAAGCCTGATGGCTCTTTCCATGGCTTAAAGCCTGACGAGGGTTAGTTGAGCACAACTGAGTATTGAAAAACACACCAAGATGGATGAAATATTGTGTCTGTGACAGAATAGATTTCTCCAGTCCGATAAGAATCTGAGAGTGTTGTTCTGCTAATTGACAGGATGTTGCCAGAAGGAGCCTAGTCATCCACATAATGATGTGTGCACAGGCCCAAGGAATGCAGATGATGAGAAAAAGCTCGAACAACTCTGCGGAAAACATAAAGTGCTGATGCAAGATTAATAGGTAGAGCCCTGAACTGCAGCACCTGACCCTTGTGCACAAATCTGAGAAATCTCCGGGAAGATTTCGCTATGGGAATATGGAGATAAGCGTTGGTAACATCGAACTTGTTCATCCAGAGCCCTGATGTAGAGTGCCATCGGAAGTAGAGAAAAGATTCCACTGTAAAGTGAGGAAGATATAAAAATTGGTTAAAACGAGACAGACTGATGATTGGATGCCAATCTCCTGTCTTCTTCAGAACAATAAATAAATGTGAATAAAATCCCGGAAGAACGGGATCGACCCTCTACTGCTATTTTGACTAACAACCCTCTTATGGCCTGGGAACAAAGTTTCACTAGCCATGGATTTGTTGAAGTTGAAAAGGCAACAGGTTGTGCTGATAATAGTGGAGGTGATGTAAACTGAATGATCAACCCTGAAGCCAGAACATGGTGTACCCATGGATCCCTTGTGAAAGACCTACAGATGTCCAGAAAGTAATGTAATTTTTCTCCCCGACCCATGGGATAGTCACTGATGCTGTTGTTGATGGTCCGCCCAAGCTGAAGATCCTTGAGAATACAGACGGAATCTATTATGGGAACCAAAGGACCTGGGAATTGAAGGAAGGGGTCAGGAAGCACTCCCAGATTACAGCCACAAAGGCGAGAAGCCAACAATGATAAAAAATAATGTAAATGGGCTGAATTAATTCATGATTCTAATGTCTCTGGAACTCCACCAAACAACATTGGACAGAGAAAAGGAGCATCCCATAACTCCCTGAGGGCAGAGATGGTAAATGAACACTTTCTAACAAACCATCTCTACACAGTAAATCCCAACAACAAACCAGAGAAAGAACTGAAGAAGACAATCTGACTGAGGTAGACATCAGCAAAATCCTCAAATTGCTGAACAGAACATCAATAGACTTCTGACAAAAGTTGGGTCAAAGAAAAATACCTAAGGACAGTCGTGAGAGTAATACGAATCCGAGAAAACTGTGATCTGTTTAAAGTGATCACAGGTTCTATATGTTGAGAATCTAAATATACCTCCTCTTGTTGGTGATAAGCCAAAGCATGTTGTTCTTATAAATGTGGGAGACAAGGCATAGCTATCCCATCACGTAACTGAGTGACAAATCTCCCAGCATGAAGAGCAGTATCAGGAGAAGGAGAAAAAACCAAGTAGCCACTTGCCGTCCTCTCTGCCAACAAGAAAGGAGTAGAGTCAAATGCCATATGAGAGACCCCCAAAACCTCACAAAGTCGAGTAACCAACTGAATAAAAGGGGCTGGAGGTGGCTGATCAAGATGATTCTCTGTTGAGGATAACCTAGTAAAAGGAGCCGGAAAAAGTGAGTCTAAATTCTCCCCAGCTGGTCCTGGGTCATTTGCAAAAACCACCTCAGAACCTCCCCAGAGAGACAACCTCGGTTTGCATATATGACTCGATCTCACAAGGGATCATATCCTGGACAGCTTGGACTGAAAGTCACCCCTCCCCTGGCAGTTGACAAACACCAGATAGAAGAAGTGGAAGAGAAGAGGTCTGGTTGGTCTCTGTAGTAGAAACATTAACTTGAGAATTCATACTCGTTGGTACATTTTTTTTGTTGTTAAAGTAATTTATGAATATAAAGGAAGATATAACCATAGTAATGCCACCCACGTTCAAAATCACAAAGTAATATGTGACTATTATGAATAACTACAATACTCCTGTTTATAGAAATCCATGCTGAATGCTTTGTCGAGAAAAAGTGATTACATTATCTGAATGATGTGCTTATATACAGTACCTAGATAAAGGACACATTGAAGTTGGTGGAGAATTTTGGAAAGGGTATTCGAGTGGGGTATAAAAGACTGGAGCAAGCATTTACAATGCTTAGATGGGCAAAGAGTGGAAACCCTGGAGAGTGAGAAATAGCTATAGTGTTAGCGGAGGTAAGTATGTTTTAGAAAAAAAGATTTTATTGTGATACCTTTTTTTTGAAACAATTAAAAGTACTTACATCTGTTGTAGATTTCAAATGTGATTTTTATGTCTTCCTATATTCTTGTAAAGCTTTCCATTAGAATCTTAATTGTGCAAGACTAAATTTTATCTTTGTTTTGATTATAAAAACATGACAAAAAGTTTAACTTTGTTTATAATTACAAGTGTAACAGAAAAAACTTTTTACCACATCAATATTATTTAAATTATTAATAATAAGGTTTAATTTAATATACAAGTTATAAACTTGTTTCATATTCATTTGCATAAATATATATATATAGAAAATTTATACTTAAACTGTCAAGCAAAATAAAATCAAAGACTGCATTAAAAACAGCAAATCCAAACCTGTGATAAATTATGTTTAAATGAACAAAATAAGCCCAAACAAAAAACAAAATTAAATTAAAGATGCTGCATAAATTAAAAGAACCATTAGGGTACAGGTTATAATGTGGTAGTACCTTATTTCATTTTTCTTTTTACATATTTGTTTTTTATTCTTCTTTTATATTTTTACTTTGGAGAGCAGTCACCATCCCACAACTGTCTGCTGGTAGTGAAGGGTGATATAGATGTTGGACATTGTTGGCTTTTAACTATTTTGATTTTCTTATCAACTACACTACTTGAAATAAATCATTGGATTATACTCATCGGAGCTTCTCATATTGAATTTATAAGCTATCTACCTGATTTTATTACTCATGTTACCAGCAGTATATAATCATAAGCAAAATAATAACAAAAGTAATATCCATTTATCAGTAAGGATTTCTAACAAAGTTTAACATAATATGAAACATTCATGAAGCATATGTTTGTAAAATGACTAACATAAGTGCCCCATCTAGTGAGCTTCGATATTTCTCTATTTTATGTTTTATGAACATCAATATTGTTTGTCAGATATCATGCACTTATTTTTTCACTTTTTTTAAACATCATTTTATTTCCAACAATAAAAAAGTATTCAACTTACTTACACATAACATAGGCTAATAACTGAAGCTATTCTTTTTTTTTAATATTTTATTGTTGATGTTGTTAGTGTGATAAAGGTCATTATTGTTACATAAAAATCTGTTATTTGAAAATATTACAAAGTAATATGTTATTTTCATCAACAAAAATACAAGTTTTTACATGATACATTTCGACATATAACAGTTTAGGATGAACAAAAAAATAACTTATTCCTACATTATTGCACCTGAAGACAAGATTTCCTCTAGCTTTTCATTTATTTTTGCCACAAATGTCCATGCCAATTTCTAACTGAAAAATATTTTAAAATTGATATTTTTTTCATATTCTGACATTTATTTAGTGTAATTCATGAAAAATAAGTTCATATTCACATTTCTTTAGAGCTACAAAGAGTTTTGCCTGTAAACAAAACAACCTATATGTTAATTTCTTTTTATAATTCTTTTGCCCATCCCAAAAGATAACATATCACCCTTTCAGAATATATTATCCTATTCTTGATTTTCAAGCATTTCCCTTAGTTTTGTACAGACCTTGATTGAAACCCTGCTATGGTACTACATCAAGTGGTTTAATCAATTATAATAAAACACAGTTTTGGAAACAGCTTTAATAAAAGATTGAATGTGATTGGATAGAGCAAGAATGAGACTATCGTGTGTTAATAAAGTAAATATATAGGTTTAAGTACTTTTTAATGCTTCTGTAAACTTTCCTTTTAGTTCTTTTCATTGTGAATTGTGATAGTGTTTGTGTGTTAAATCATAACTGCTTGAAATGAAAGCTACAGAAAGTTTCTTCAATGAAAAGATATCAGATAACTTGAGATAAGATAGATACGCTTATCCAGTTTAGAGATGGGTTGAATGGATAAGAAAGAAAACCTTATTTAAAAGTTTAGCATTATAGCAAATGTACAATATATGGAGAAGGTTTTGTCACCATCAGGTACAAATGATTCACTTATACACAGTATATATATATGTGACTGGAAACTGCTTAAGGCTTAATAAAGATATTTTGTTGATGTTTGCTTTTTTGTTTAAAATTATGATGTTTTTACTTTTTAATTGATGCACTATGGTTCTTGAATTGCAAAGTTTGTAAACAGGAGTTTTTCTTTTTATGTTCACCAACTCAAATAAGTTTACTGTTTAGTGAATACAGTAGGCAATCATAAAATATTCTGATGACTCAAACCTTTATTGAATATCATTTTTATGTTTATCCTATTGAAACAACGTACATAAATAAATTGTCTAACTGGCAATTTAATGATCTGTAATTGTAATCTTGTTATATTTTAAATAAAAAACATTATTACCCTGACCATGAAAGTAAAACATGTTTTAATTATTTAATTATCAATTAATTTGATTTAAAGAGGTTCGGTGTGGCATTATGATATATTTGAAAAACAAATAATGGCAATCACTTGGTGGCATTTAATTGACTTTAGTGAGTCATTCTTCAAGTAGGAAATGACAATAAAGCTTGTGGAAAATTTTGTTTGGTAAACAAATGGTTTTGCATATGCACAAATGGAGATCTTCAGAAGAAGACTCTCATATGAAATCTAGGATAATTCAAAAATTAATTTAAAAACCAACATAAAAGAAAATAGGAAAATTAATACCATGTTAGAATAATGCAGTGGTTGAAAAGGTTAGGACATTAGCACATACCCCCTTTTTTTTTCTTATATGGATTGTAAGATATGTAGTTTGTTAATCAAATAATTGAGTGTAATCAACTAACGAGTCTATAGGTTAATCAATTAGCAAATACCAGTAATTTTCCAGCTCCAATCATCTGATTGTAATAGAAATACTAATGTTTAACTTAATCAAATAACATTTTTTGATAAAGGATATATGAGAATAAGATATTGTTAGAACATAAATAAGTAATTACTTATCCATTTTTTTTTAAAGTTAATTTCATTAAGATCATTGGTCACAATGTCTAAAACGATTTTGATTACAATTATTGATTTTACACAATAGGATGATTACTTCGCATGATAAATTAGTATTAACCTAAATCTTTGAAGTTGGCAGAAGCTATGAGATATTATTTGGATACTGACCACAATTAATTATAATAGCAAGGGTACAGAGCTGATGATTCACATTGTTTGAAAATTTTCTTGCAAAGCTACACTAAGGACTATGAAGAAATAAAAATATGCAAATGTGAAAGAATAAAAAAATTAAGCAGTGTGTTGTCTGTCAATCAGTCAGTAGACACTAAAATGACATCACATAAGGGATGATTAACACTGCAATATGTACTGTCATGGCATGAATAAAAAACATGCGCATGCCATTAATCACAAGAAGAATTATGCACTCTGAAGGCTACAACACAGCATGACATATGAATTTCAAAAACAAGAAACAAAAATATTTGTTACTCTTAATTTTGGTTTTATTTACTCTTGAAACAGAACACTCTGTGAAAGTTTCATATATAATATTATATCAGTACTTCAGTTAAATTAATTTTTGCTTATTACTTTGCCATATTTATACACCTGGAAAAAAGTTAAGCACCCCCAAATATTTTCAGGAT